CAAATCTAAAGCATTTCTAGGTGTTACAATTGTAAGGTCATAGAGCGTTTTCTGCTTTGAGTCCCGATCTACCTTATGCTTGCATGTAAATGTGAACTTAATAAAACACATAAAAGAGAAATTGGAGGCAGAGTCAACTGCTTTCGTGTTTGTCCTATACATTGCCAAGGAATGAACCCTTTTGCATCGGAGAATTTTAGTTCCAATTTAAGATTGAGATTTACATTAAGTGTCTATAAGTAGTTAGTTTTATAGTATTTTGATGAAGGAAGTATATTAATAGATGTTTTATAAAATGGTCCATGTGGTAGTCTGATTGCACGTTAGAGTGCTGACAACTGAGGTATTGTGTAGTTTTATGTGATACCAAGTAACTAGCACTTCAGTAGCTTAGATCTATTTTATTTCTATTAGCAGAACCAATAACATATAGGATCATGCTACAAAAATATAATCATTTACATAATACATTACATAATTGACATCTGGCGCGTATCCATCGATAGTTTACAATTTTTGACTTTTCCACACTTCACATCCACGGCCGAATTTCTTCCACATGGGTCTATGTAATTCATTATGTACAATAATTATGTACATATAGATTTATCCTAAAATATATATAGTTTTCCATTGAAAAATCCAAGTTGATGTTTGAAGCCATGACGTGAATTTGATTTATCTTGGAGAGAAGTCCTTTTGTAGCTTTGAGTTTTGCAATTCTCTCTTTTCCAATCCTTTGACTTTTATCTGGTTTTGTTGGTCGTCAAAGTATCATTATCTTCTAGAAGAAGCAGTTTCGAGGATGGCCATGGTGATGAACTGGATGCAGATGCTATATGTTCAGCGCTGACTGATGTAGCTTCATCTAGCAACAATAATCACCTTAGCTCGGGCTGGACATCTTCTGAAGATGAGGTAGACACCATGGATCAGGCTGATGAAGGTTTATCTCTTCTACCCTTTTTCTCTTGCACTAGATATGTTTCGTCTGTCATTTTCAATGATGAAAACATAATGTTTTGCTTATGCCGATGATGAATTTTTAAGGTAACTCATGAGAATATACTGCAGTGTTGTATAATATGCTATTGAACTAAAAGTTATATAAGGGGAGGTCCTCAACATATTGTCCTCACAGCAAGTGAGTCCTCAACCTCTTAAAATGAGCAAGTTGCTCCTCAACCTCTTGTTATAGTTGCACAATCAGTTACCTGTAGTTGAATTCATTAAATCATCACCCTGCATGAACATGTCCAACTTGATGAAGCTAGTTTGTTTTCCTCCCCAAATTGAGCCATGCCTAGAAATTTGAAGTGGGGTATGTTTCTATGTGGGTCACGTGACTATTTTACAAATATTTGGACAATTTACTTCAGAAAATGAATTTGCAACTATAATAGAGATTTGAAGGTTTAACGGTTTAATTCATAAATAGATATCAATGAGTAGTGGATAGTACTTGTGAGTCCATTAAAACGTGTGATTAAAAATGAAATTTGATAATTTATAAATGATTCGTAAATTTTGCCTAACAGAGCTAAAATTAAAATGCGCAGCAATTTGTACAGTATGTTTAGTCACTGAAAACACCTCTTTGATTATGACTCTACCGTTGCACTTCTATCAGATTCCGATTCTGAGAGGTGCCGGAACTTCAAGGAGAATAGAAGAGCCCATTATGATGAATTTCGGAAAATTAAAGAGCTTCGTCAAAAGCACTCCTTTCTCGAAGTTGAGTCTAATGGGGAGGTCGAGGACTGTGAAAAGGACAGAGGTTGCGATACATCTCCGTTGTTAACTGCTGGAGTCAAAGACATGAAGAATGTGGAATCCTCGACGAGCTTAGGGTCCCTGACAAATAACATTAACTATCTCTTGATCATTTTCGTAGCAGTTTTGTTGTATTACATTATAGTGGAACTCTGATTTGGTGCTTTTTTAATATTAAGTTTGCAATATGTAAATTGGCATTTGATGTATTGTAGAATTTGCTACAATACTTATGTTATCTAAATGTTACATTTAATTTTGTATTTCTTAAATATTTTAAAATGCATTTACACTTTTTTTCGTCTCATCTTGTTTCCTATGTTCTAATCCTTAACGGCTTTAGGTTACTCCGTTGTCATGCCACTGCCTTCGTTTCTTTTATTGATTTGAAAAGAGTAAAGTTTTGAATTTATATGTAAAATTATTTTATTGAGTTGATATATAATTAAAAATAAATTTGAGGAAAAAAAATAAAATTTTGATAATGGGCCAAAACTTAAACTGGAAAAGGCTAATTTTTTCTACGAATTATGTGAGGATGCAATTCTTTTTGAAGGAAAAAAAATTACTAGAAAATGTTAAGTCCACGAATAATAGGATGCGTTTGATTGCAAGGGTGGAAAATGGGTGGAAAGAAAATGTTTTACAGGGAAAAGATTTGCCTAGAAAATGTTTTGTAAGGAATATGATTTCAAGTGTGTTTGATTGGTATAATTTTCCACCCGGAAAATTTTTAAATTTTCTATTCATTTGGCTTTGTTTTACATGAAAATTGTCCATTAAAGTGATATTTTTTTC